TTAACATGAGACACCTACACTGATAGCCCGGGCGTTCTTGGTAATAAATCCATTCAAGCTAATAAACTTGTTTAGGAAAGCAGCTGTTCGGAGATATAAACTTCCCTACTCTCCTTATTTTTGCATAGAGGAGTATTTTTTTAGGAAAAAAGTGGCACAATTTTATAAATTTCTAGAAGCACATGGAATAGTACCTTCAAAAACACTTTTAAATGTTATGGAATTGGCACATTTTTATAAATTTCTAGAAGCGCTTGGAGTAATACCTTCAAAAACACTTTTAAATATTTGCATATACTCTGTTTTGTGAAATAAAAATTCATAAAGTGAAGCTATTGATTTTGCAGATCAACAATCGCAGCAGTTGGTACTCACCGGTGAGCACTGTTCGACGTGAAGGTTCATACATCTACGAGGACTTCATTCCAGCAGACGGCACTGATGTCAAGGTCCCATTTTCATCTCCATTTGTGAACTTGCACTCAGCGGCGTTGCAACAGTGTGACTATCTTCAGGTTTATGCAGTGGGCCCGTACTATGCACATGCTGAAGCCCGAAAAGCTCCTGGCCTAGATGGGAAAGTTGAACGGGACTCGCATGGAAAAGAAGTGCGGTATCCCGTCATACTGAGCAGCAAGGAGAAATTGATTGCTCGAAAAGTGGTCATGGCGTTTGGGGTAAGTTTCAAGTAACTAATGCATTATGTAGGCAAACCTTTAACAGCATACGCTTAACAGATTAAAAATCTTCACCACAGTTTGGCACATACTGTGCTTATTATGCGTTTTGTGTTGGGTAACAGCAGTACAAAACGCGTATTGTCACGGGGTTGACTGTGTGTATGTGTGTCCGCAGCAACTTGTCCGCATCTTTCAACTTGAGAATCTCAAAAGCTAGGAAGCGGAAAATTTAAGGGAATGTTTCCCACCCACTTGTGACAACTCAGATTTAAAGTCAGCTTCCCGTACCCGCGGATAACACTTACGGTTCCATAAAAGTTTTGGCGGCGTAAATTATCTCGGAATTCACGGGAGCTTTTAACTGATTGGTAGAAAAAGTGATGGATGGGGCAGTTTTTTCATTGAGGATTCGATTTGTGGGGCGGAATCCATCACTTCGAAAGGGCGGCAGGAATAAAAGATTTTTTCGTTTCGGCAAACTTTGAACGATTTTCGTAGTGCATGCTAACTGTACGTTAATGGAAAAACGGAAATTTTGAGCACATGTGCAAGCGGTTCTCTCTGAGAGCACATGTGGTGCTCTGTGACTTCTCAAATTAGTTTCCGAAAATCGCCTCCCCAGTCTCCCAGTATTTCTTCGTTCTCCTAGTTCTTCTGTTTCCTCAAAGATCGCTATCTGTTTTATGTCATTTTTAGTCATTATTGGATGTTAAGAACTTTCCCCTGATTTTTTCGCTGTTATTCTTTTTAGCAGAGCCCATTGGAATGAGTGGCTTGGGAATTGTGATATGAACGAAACTTTTTGCATCTCGAATTTAAGCTGATTAATGATCCAGCAACTATATTCAAAGCAAAAACTGTTTTGCTTGTTTTCCAGCAAACTGTATGTGGTTTTGACTTACTGCGCGCGAATGGCAAGTCATATGTGTGCGATGTAAATGGTTTTTCATTTGTGAAGACGTCAACGAAGTACTATGAAGACACTGCAAAAATCCTCGGCAATACAATCCTGCGGCGACTTGCATCGTCGTTGAGTATACCTTGGCAAATACCATACCAGGATGGTCAGTTTTTTGATAGAATTATTGTGAGATAGATTTATTTGAATTTTCTGTCTGTCTTTTTTTTCCGGGTTTTTTTTTTTTGTCGTGTTGCATCGAATTTTTCGTTTTTCCCTTTGGGGATTTCCAGGTATGACTGGAAAATATCGCTTATCATACAGTAGCACTAGCTTCCTTTGGTACCCAATAAAACGCAAATTATTGCAGCGTCCGGAAAGAGATTTTTGAAGATTAAGTACACGTATTTTCCCCTCTTTCATGATTTTTAAGTGATTTGTTACATAAATGTTATCGGGCGAATTAGAGGACTGTGTA